CCCCCCGCCCCCCCCCCCACCGCTGTCGGAGTCGAACAGCATCATTTGTCTATTTAGCTGGGCCAGACAATTGGAGATAGTTTTCCGTACATTTGTACATTCACACGATCTTCTCTGTGACAGTTTTTAATAGCCCCTTTTGTAATTTTTCCCAACTCATCTGTTCACACAGACAGACAGGTATAGTTCCGTTGAAATGTTTGCCCAGTTCGTAACAGTTTTCGATTCGCACATTGTTGCCCGTCTCTCTTGATCACAAACTTATTCAGACTACTCTCGTCCTGCGCCCTCTTCTATCTCTCAATCGTATCATGGACTCCCTCTCTTTCTCTGTCTCCATCTCTTTCACCTACACTTCCCGTTCGCTGTCAAGACATGCCGATGGTTCCGTACGCTTTTGGGATGCTTCCGAAGGTAAGCAAATGTGATGCGTGTTGTCATCACCAGTATGACCTGATCCCGTTCTACGCACAACTGAGTCACACAGACAGTCGGAGCGATGAAGATGCTCAATCGTTGTCACTAGTGTGTTCTAGAGCACATGGTTTGTGGTTTGAACCCCCGCCGCGACTCATCACCACGGTCGGAAATAGCTTTGCCATAGTCCAATTCATTAATCTATCTGTGCCAATGAGACTTTGTACTGTTTGTCAATCTAGGGCTCATGAAAACACACGTATTCGCAAATAAGCTCATTTTCGGTGATTCACCGACTAACAAGATACAGCATATCTCACACTAAGTGAAATAGTAAGTGCTGTGAAACACACAAGTGAGAGCGAATGAAAAGTTTGGTATGAGATGATGTAACTGATCATTAGTATACGTGTTGTGTTAGTATGTGTCTACCGAACGTGATTGGAGGTGGGTGTTAGTGAGTTAATCGGTGGGTGGATGAGCGAATGCATGAAAGTTTATGGGCGGAGTTTACGTCACCAGGTTATAATCGGATGGTTATGGTTTCTGGTCCCACATGTGTGTGTGTGTTGAGACGATCTGGATTCCCCTCGACTGTTGAAAACTTTGAATCATGGTCCTTTTTATCCAACCCTTCCCTAACTGAGCAGACAGGACGCAGAAGTGTCACGGAAATTGACTGAGTTTGTACGCAGTCAGCTAGGTGGTATCTGCTGTAGCCCCGATGTTCATCCATCCCTAATCCGACGAGCCAGGGTTGTGCTCTTACATACGAGCAGATGAGTATTAGTTCGATTCACTTGGTTTGCTCCACAGGGGCAACTGAATGGAAGAACGCTAAACGAGGTCGTATCCGGGAGCGGGGGGGGGGAATGACAATCATTCTTACATTTTCTTACGGTTTGAGCTGGAATAGGACGCGTAGTTTAGCCAAAAACTATGCATATCTGATGAACGATGGAATTCGTCGATTCAGTGATTTTGCACTCGTATCTCCACGGAGAGCCAAATCCGCTTCTTGTTGTCCGTTTTGCATAATGATTCAATACTGCTGTGCACTAGATACACCAAACTCAGCGGGTAAATCATTGTCATTCTGAATTCTTATTCTTAGTCATTTCGCGCTATCACTGACTATTTGGTCTACAATAAAACGTGTTGTATTCTTCCGCCGAGAATCATTTAATCTGAAATATTTTCTCTTCTCACGGCTTCGGTTTTGGGCTATCGTAAAGAAACAGTCGGTTATCGTCACTGTGCGTTTACCTGCTTCAGCCATTTATCTGACTCGGTTGTGTGCAAACAAAGAATCGTAATGATATCTCATTTTGGCCAATTTAAAATTCAGGTTTAATCTTAAAGTTTTCTATTGTTGATATTGTTGTTTTGCCTACTTGCCGGACAAGCAGAAGATGAATCTTCCCTTCCCATTTGCCAAACGGGAAACCCTTTTCTCGTGCTACTCAAGGCGATAAACCAGTCAACTTGAACTGTGAACTCCTTGGTTTCCGACATGTCCAAAATTCACAATTGTGGAGGCAAAACTAAGTTCCCATCTATTTAGACCTCACCTCTGATCATTGGCAATAGACAGCTACAATTCATGCCACTCATGTATGGAATCGGTCCATCCTTGCTCTCTCTCTCTCTCTCTTGCATAGTTGTTAACGGTACTGAAGTCCTGTTCTATCAGTGGTGCGCTTATTCCAGCAGCTGAGATAGTACTTTTTAAAAAGATCAGACAAATGCCCGACTCCTTCAGTCGATGAATAGAAAAGCGCAAAACGAGTGCGCATCCCGGGTTATCCTTACCGGAGCCCCATAAAGATAAAAAATAAGAGTATCGATTACGTGATTTACTAAGGTAAACTTGTGTCTCAACCCTCGCGATCGACTCATGATTATATTCTGCATTCCGTCGCCGATTTTCAGTTACATGTGCATAGTGATGCTGTATTTGGCTAATTAATGAAACACCTAAAACTAGCTTATTTACATCCATGTCTAATAAATTGCATCAAGAAAAGTATCTTGGTCGTCAGCAAAACGTGTGATGTTCAGCTGCAAAGCAATTGCACCAGATAAATAGATGATTAAATTTGGTCTCTCATCGGTTTGGCAATTGTATCTCTCCTGAGTGGAATAATACAATCAATAAGCTTTGTATGAACAGTTTGCGAAAAGGGATTTTTTTCGATGCGCTATCAAAACCTCTTTTTTCTGACACAAAGTTTTAGACGATCATGCTACTAATGGTGTAGGGTTCATTGGTTTCACTTGAAGTCATTTCGGAGTTATGCTGAACTGAGAACACTCGCTTTGACAAAATTTGCGTTCTTTTAACCAAATTTTTTTTTGTACAGCGTAATACAGTGAGGCAAACTTCACGGATTGCGGCCAAACTCATAATGCATACAAGGTAACTGAGATTGTGTAAGGAGGGTAGGGATCGGGCCTATTTCAAAGGATGGTAAATAAAAGTGAACATCTATGGTCAACACTCGGAGTACACAATCCAACTGTGCATACGTACGATTTCAAGCATTCTGGCCTGATACGCAGTGACAACAAGAACGCTACTGCTGTCGGCTCGCTGTTTTACCATCCGTTTTCTCCAACCAGCCAGCATGGGGTCTTTCCGACCACAACCTGGAAGGTGCTAGACACCCATTCTGCGTAATGGCTCTTAACAATTCTTCATACCTTGTCTCCACGTCATCTGTTGACCTCCACATGATTTT